CTGCCTCCTCCCACCTACTTCCCCGCGCTCTACCGGCAGTCTGCTGCCCCCCCCCCACCTCCCATACACGCTCTGAGGACGATGGTAGACGCTGCTCAGGTATACGCTAGATCTATATTCATGCTTTCCTAGTCCCTGGCAACGCAGATGGTCGCTGGTGACGCTGTCGCAAATTATGAACACGGTCTGACCCTTCTAGCGCGTCCGTGGGCTCGCTCGACTAGTTCGCCGATTCTTCCTATCGATATAGATGGAAGCCTTTTCGCGGATGCGCTTTCGCCAATTTCGCAAGACCGCAAGCTGTGAACAATTTCCCAATTTGGCTGCCAAACTCAAAAAGCTCAGACCTATACAAAAGGACATTAATGAGAGTAATTCAACTCACATTTCCAGAGTTTGAAGCACAGTTGCTTGAAGGGGCCACATGCGCTGCTGCTGATACTGCGTCATGCTCACCTTTCCGTTTAGGGGTTCTCGAGAGCACCACAAAAGTCCTTGTTCCCCAATACGCGACTATCATGAAACAGCACACTGAAAAGAATAAATGGTATCAATTATCAAGAACAAATGGAAAAAATGGGCTCTGAAGACAGTAAACCCGTAGGGAAAGCACATACAATAAGTCTACTAAGCTGCGCGAAAACTGCTATGCTACTCTTGTTCAGTACAGGAATTACGCCGCTAGTCAACAAAAATGCTAACCAGGGAAGGTCAACAGGTCGCCATGGCCATTCAAGATGAGATGCATATCGACGTGTACGTCTCGGGACGCTGAACTCAAATCTGCTTCCAAAATTTGCCGAACGATTCTCTATGAGGAGTTAGGGGGGGGGTCGTTCTAGCATAGCACTCGCCGATCCTCCTTTGCGTAGCTCAAGTTAAGTTCGAGTACAGACAGTCTCAAGTGGTCGATGGTGTAGTGGATAGGTAAGTTGCTTCATAGATGGGAGGTCATGGGTTCGATTCCTTGACAGGTTCGCGTTTTTGCATTTTTTCGGAACATCTTCTGCGAGTTCAGAAAATACTTACTATTCGTTATTTTGTGAAGCTTGCTCTTACTAGTAGCAGGACACTCGAGTGCCGGTAATATTCTTCGCTTTCAAGACTTTTAGGCAGTTTACCTTTTACTACCCGAAATCAAACCAGTTTCTGACCGACTTTTTTTTCGTAGCAGAATTGGCTGAAAAGTTGCCTACTAGGGTAGTCTGCCCATCTGAACATGATTATCACATCCGCTCGGCACGAAACCTCCTAGCACCCGTGCCACAGGCGCCAGCGCCAAAATACCCTAAATCACCAAGTTCGCTGAAAACTTGTCAACTGGGGTAGTTTGACCTCCTGGACACAAATATCCCATTAGCTGAGCCCGGAAATGCCTGGCGCCGGCGCCAAAATACTCGAAATCACCAAAATCACTAAACTTTTCAACTGGAGCAGTTTGACCTCCTAAACACGAACATCACATCTGTGTGGGGCGTTGAGAATGTTTGGGATAGAGAAAAAGGGAGTAATGTGATTACAACCTGCGTCTGCACCCTCCCCTGAGATGAGGCCCTTCTCTGCTAAGGCTGAGCCTCAGCAAAGGGAAGGATTTCTATGACAGGCAACCAGGAAGAGTGGTGCGTTACTTCGGCCAGTTTGCCCAACTGCCCTAGCACAGAGCCTCGCACGAAAGCGACTGGAGTCTGTGCTACACGCCGGAGTCGGAACAAGCATGTGATGGGTCGCTTGTGGCGTATGCGTCAGGCGGTTTCAGACTGTACGGATGTGATATTCGTGTTAGGGGGTCAAACTACCCATGACAAGTTTTCAGCGAACTTGGTGATTTAGGGTATTTTGGCGCTGGCGCCTGTGGCACGGGTGCTAGGAGGTTTCGTGCCGAGCGGATGTGATAATCATGTTCAGAAGGGCAGACTACCCTAGTAGGCAACTTTTCAGCCAATTCTGCTTACGAAGAAAAAAGTCGGTCAAAAACTGGCCTGATTTCGGGTAGTGAAGGGTAAACACTGCCTAAAAGTAAGCGAAGCATACTTGCCGGCACTCAAGTCTTTTCCTGCTGCAAGTAAGAGCAAGCTTGACAAAATAACGGATAGAAGTATTTTCTGAACTCACAGAAGATGTTCCGAAAAAATGCAAAAAAACCTGTCAAGGAATCGAACCCATGACCTCCCATCTATGAAGCAACTTACCTATCCACTACACCATCGACCACTTGAGGCTACCTGTACTCGGAATTAACTAGAGCTACAGTCCTCATCATTGCGGACCGGTGGGGCGTGGCAGTGCGGCTGCGTTTGGTGCGGTTTGGCAAAGTCGTTCTGCACCAGTTTTTGAAGCGGGCAAGTGCATTACTGTATAATATCCTTCGTATTACTCGTTTTCTACCACTTTTTGTCGCATACGCGTTGCAACAAAAAGGCTGAGAACGGCTTCAACAGTGTGCACACTCCTTCTGGCTGACACGCCCCACCGGTCCGCAATGATGAGGACTGTATGCAATGGAGGATCGGCGAATGCTATGCTAGAAGCACCTTCCCCCCCCTAACTCGTAGAGAATAGTTCGGCAAATTTTGGAAGCAGAGTTCAGCGTCCCGAGACGTACACGTCGATATGCATCTCATCTTGAATGGCCATGGCGACCTGTTGACCTTTCCTGGTAAGCAAACGATTACACTAATGGATAGGAGTCCGACTGTTTACCTAAAAGCGATGACACAAACAGAATAGAATATGTAGTTAGAGGCCAGTTATATAATAAATGTCGTATAATCCCAAAACGAGCATCGATTACGAGAACAGCACTGTCAATCTAAACGTAAAGAAAATGGCAGCACTCAGACTCGCAATACAAACTGGAGAAACAAAGAATGACAACCTTACTGAAAGCCGGACATTTTTAATTTGGGTTTGATTTAATTCCGCTGCACTGGGGCTGAACGTTATTACAGCCAGGGGACGATGTCCGATAGGGAAATCACCAGTGGTAGGGGAGGGTCGTAATTGGTCACTGAGGGAGGGGGAGGGGTCGTTTTTGGTCTGGCAAAATTTTTTGATGGCTATTTTTCGAGAGTCGGGCGATTCTATCGTCGGCAATCTCAGGTCACGCCGCACACGTCGCGTCGCGGCGTGTCGCGCGGCGACGCGGCGCGGCAATCCCGGAGTTGCATTACCGTACTCACGAGTTGTCATTGGAGCAAGGGATTAGCGTTGTTTCACGGCGTCCTCGACCCACATTATGGGAAGATTTGCTGGAGCAATTTCTTTAAATTACTCTGCAGCAACAAAATTAGCATCTACTATTCACTGGAAAACACTGGGAAATTGAGGGTGGACCGAAACGGTTCCAGTTTCAACAGTAACCTCAAAAGTAAGTGTAGATAATAATCACAACAGGAAAATAGGAAATAGATAGGAAAAACATAATTGGAAAAAAGATAATCAAAATGGGATGACGGTCCCTTTACAATTTGAAGGAGCCGCCACGCAACAGAACTCGTACGCGGCGGCCGCCACGCCGTCGGCTCCGCCTACCAGCGCGGCAACCTAGTTATCATAGACGATAGAATCGTCACACACCCCTGTTTTTCTTGTTCCACGAGCGCCATTCGCACTGCTGAGAACAGGGAGGGAGGGAAGGGGGAGGAGCACAAATGATCACTGCTGGGAGTCTTTGCCTTCGAAGAAAATTTGCCGCATTAGAGGGAGAATTCCCGGCTGCTGACTTATTCTCGCTTCGTTGTGTGCTGCCGTCCCCCCCCCCTATCCCCCACCCGACGGCAAAATTTTAGGAGAAATGTAGAGAATTTTTAGAGAATGCGAGGTAGGATGTTGGAAAAGAAAACAAGGGAACTAGAAAAGTGGGAGGGAGGAAGGGGGGACTAGCATCACAGGAGGGAATGTGGGGGGAGGGACACTTTCCAAATTTTTACGCACGGCACGACGTGAGTTGATTACAGCATTATACCTTGAAAGTGTTTTAGCGACGAAGTAGAACTGCAGAAAGACGGAAAAGGATTACTTCTTCTGTGTCGACAACGCATTCTTTCCTCAACAAGGTCAGCGAGGCTGTGGTAATTTGGGACGTCTGTGACCCGCCTTAAGTTGCCCTTCTAAGAGCAAAACCTCGCTCACACTTGTCCTCGGAACAAAAGTGTACTCCCTAAATTCATACATTCTCCATGATTTTCCACACTCTATCATACCGATACTAACTTCAAGAAAGACGATGTCTAACCTGACTTCCGCCTCCAATCCCAAGATTTCAAAATAAATCAGAATATGAGCTTAAAGCAATGGAGCCAGTTCGTGGGAGGAAAGTCGGGGACTATATCCGTCTCGACGGAATGGAAAACGTTGAAGTTAACGACTCGCTCTTCGATGAGACTATAAAGACGAATACTTGTAAAACACAACATTCTGATATGGATTTTATATGGCACTCCTTCCGGAGAGGGTTTAGGGTTGTATACCACAACCACCGTACTGACGAGTTGCTGCAGGTCATGTGGCACGTCTTCAATGTTGAATAACTAGTGTGCAACAATTGAGTAAATCCAGTAGTTTGGAGATTTGGACATGTCGCTCTACGAAATCGCGTCTCACGGTGTGCCATGACGGTCCACAGACAAGTAAAACTCAACCTGATTCTCTGCTTTTCTCTGCAATCTCCCCTCTGCGTGGTGTTCAAGGCTTATTTATCCAGTTATTCTATGACGTCCAGGCTTTCGTATTTGCGGACGACAGACTACATGCACTTTCTTCAGACAGATTATTTAAATGAAAATCCTGTCGATTAATCCTGCGACAGAAGTTATCGAGTTTTTTTTTCAATTTTCATAAGTAGATGAATCAAAGACGCAATAGCGATAAAGTGCAGTTTCCCAGAAACGATGAGCGCCTTTGACCACTCGTGCTCACTCAAGCGGCTACGCAGTTGGCTTTTAGTTTTCTGACGAGTACATGAACGTGACCTTTCCTTTTTTTGTAATGATAGACCAGTTCTAGTAGTCATGGAAATGTAGACCAGTGTTTTCAGTGTACTGAGTTTTGAACAGTGAAAGGAGCTAAAGAAATAAAGAGGAATCTCGAAAGAATCTAGCTCGTCAAAGTCATGAGAGCCTGGTGGTGACGCGGAAGCGCACAAAGAATCATGTGCGGCTCTGCATGTAGGCCATTCTATCCAAAATGTTTCATTGGAGGCACGTTTCAGCTGGATGATGTACTTTTAAAATAACAATTCTACAACTTCCGGCTCAATAATAAGCAAAGGACGCTAGCCAGTTCACCGAAACAGCCAATAGAAAAGGGTGAAGTAATCCCCATGTAACTAAACAACAACGGCAAAGTTCGGAGTATTTGAAGTGAAATTAGAAAAAGTGAATTGAAAAGCAATCGCAAGAAGGTAATGTAAGAGCTGGCACCCTCACTGGTTGCTAGAAGATAAATCTTGACGCAAAGCAGAGAAAGATGGAAACTCACAGAAGTGTATGGAAATTACGCGTGGGTATACAGCACTCCGAGAAACTGCATTTACATCTCGCCCTACTTTTTCAAAAGCTTCGCGGGGAACGGTGCCTAGCGCTAAACCTACAGCGAGCAAAAACTTGGAGCAAGTGAAAATCGCGCCCAATTCAATAATTTCTGTTGTATTTGTTGAAATGCAAATGGGAATCTCACTTCCGCAAACTAAATAGGCTTTAGAAAGGCAAAAATCGAAGCAGTTGATGATAGTCGTTTTTCAGACAGGGTGATGAAGAATATAACGGTATGGCACGCCACAACGCACAACGGATAAAATAAAATTTCAATTTTCTTGGAACAGAAAATTTTGGAGCAAAAGCGTTGCGTTGTAGTGAGAGCCAAACAAAAGAAACCACAAAGTGAACATCGAATGAATTTTGCAACTTTCTGAAAACCTGACATGTCTGTACCTATTCTTGCACCCAAGTGAGACTATGCATATTCGCCAACTACGTCGCCGCGTCACTGAAGATCACCTCAGTACTGTGCTTGTTGGCAGAAAGCTGCCACGTCAGAAATGCTTTCAAGATGAAGCCTTCGCCTTTTAAGGCTGGAATCGATGTGCATTCCAATCCTATACGAAGACGATGACATTCTTTATGCGACTCGGCCTGTCATGAGCTGCGTAGTCCAGATGTTACACTACTTAGTGTATTCATCGCCCCAAATGAGTCTCTCAGCAAATAACTAGTCTCTGTAGGATGGAAAGCTCGATGCGCTCGGACGGATGCCGATCCGGGACTCGAACCCTAGACCACGCGCGTGATAAGGAACGCCACTTCCCATCTCCCAGCCTTCCCATCTTCTGCAGCACTAATATGATTACGTAATTACATTATATCGTTTACTGTTCCTATTACTGTTGCAGAAAATGCCATGTATAAGCTCGTTCTAAGTTTATTTTGTCGCTAGTGCACATCACAAAACCAGAAAAGTATGTCCAGCAAAAAAGTCGAAAAGCGTGAAAAGCGAAACGGACCTGCGCTCTACGATCCTGGAGCTGGAATACGAGTTTCGAAGATGACCGACCGTACGTTTCTATATGCTCCGTTGCGAAAGGAATATCCAGAATGTTATAATTATGGAACATACCAACGAAGTACAGCGGAAAGAACAAGACCCAAATCATCTGAAAGCTTCGACTTCATCACATGTTCAGAGAGAATTAGCAAGGAAATTACGGAAATACCTTCGTAACCAACGTAGGTTCTTTCAAGTACGATGCCTTCGTATATGTTTTGAGTAGATGGTCTCCATCATAGATTGACAGAATACTTTGAAATACGCCTAACTTGTTTCCCTGCTCAATATCCGCAAAGTGAAGTCGTACTGATAATGTATAATAGACCGATGGCGAGAACAAGGCTCCCTAAAATGATCGACAGCAAAATTACGAAACTGCTTCTTTGATTTAGAATTCTTTGCGCTTATATATTATCGGCCATATAATTTATCGCACTCTGCAGAATGCTATTAAAATTGGCTGTGGAACACGCCACTAAACAGCTGTTTATACTAGAGAGGGGGGGGGGTAGGCGCTACAACGGCCATTCAAAGTATTCTCGGTATCGGGTATTAGCAGTGACAAAGGAATTTAAATCACTTCAATAGGTAACGACACTCCCTGAAGGTATAAATACAAAACTTCATTTAGTTATCATCATGCTGTTCTAGGCGGAGATGGTGTAGTGACAAGTGGGGCGCTCACCATTCGCGCGGTCCCGGGTTCGAATCCCGGGTCGACTCCCGCCCAGGCCAACCAAGCCTTCTACCCTCCGGGGACGGTGAATTGGTACCAGATTCGTCTGGGAGGATAAAACACTGACTTGTACATCGGCTGGCCACCGCAAGTCATTGTATAGGCCACATCGCATTCAATAAGCCACTACGATTCTGAATGGAAGTAGAATGCGTGCCGCATCCCACAAAGGGATTGATCAACGGCGAAGACTTTATCCTTTATCCTTTTTTATCCATGCTGTTCTAGTTGTCGTTGGTGAAAGAACACCAGTAGGACTGATGCGACATGTTGAGAAAACGAATGATTACAGATTAAGAGATTGCGAAAATGACTAGTGATTACTTCTTGTTCCCGAACCTAAAAGAAGATCTTCGTCGAAAGCGTTTTCCTGACGATGAGGACCTGATGGCGTTAATTAGAGAAGATTTAGGGGCAATGAGAAAAAATATTTCTCAGAGTGTACTGAAAAGTTAGTTTCCCAAGCTAACAAAAGGCTGTAGGAGGATGTAGGAGGATGTAGGGGGTTACATTGAAAAATAAATTCCATTCACAATTTTCTGCCGTTTCCCTCGCACCTATAACGAGAACACACAGAGCACCCCTTGCGGTTCGCTACTTTTCAGTTTCCGCAACTTAGGGGAACTGTGAACCATTGTAGCTGCAAAAGCAGTATAAGCTCTGTTTTGCATGTCTGTGTTAAATTTAAAAGCCATACAGGGATCTTCACGTGAATAGGAGCTAGCAAAATGGCATCTCCATAGCGCCCTGTGCCCACAACTATGGTTACCTAATTAATAGGCATTCTAACCGCCACTGCAGAACGCAGGAGCATACAATGATAAATTACTCGAGCAGCTACTACGTTTGTCTCATCGAGTGCTGCATCCTCATCGATTCTGAACTTTCTTGAGGTTGAGTGAACAACTCCAGCTATTGAAAGAACTTCACCTTATACTCACAAAGAAAGAACTCAGCGTGTAATGTTCGAAGAGCGAATTCAGACTCAGAGCTGAAAACCGTCTTCGTTGATACTGTAGAGGTTGCTAAGTACAGTTTCATGTCAAGAACCACAATTCAGAATGTTTCTATTTCTATTCATTATCAATATTATGTTGTTGTTATTATTATTATTATTATTATTTATTATTATTATTATTATTATTATTATTATTATTATTATTATTATTATTATTATTACTATTATTTTATTATTACGTTATGATCATTATTATTATTAGTATTAATATTATTATTATGTTATTATCAGTATTATTAGTTGTATTATTATTTGACAGACGCTGGGACGAGCCCACGTTACAAAAATAACCACTACAACCTGCTAACCAACGCACATGAAGCAGAAGGTAGAAAAATTGCAAAAAACAAGAGAATAAAATAAAAGAAAAGAAGTAATGAGGTGATAAAGCAACGCAAAATAGGCATCAAAATAGC